AGTTGCATTGGGTGATCCGTATCAGCGTGCTGGTGGTTGGCCTGGCAGGAACAGGCCTGGCCTTTGGTGATGACAGCGTGTTCGGCCTCTGGCTGGTAAGCGGCGACCTCCTCTACTGCGTCATCTTCCCGCAGCTCATTTGCGTGCTGCACTGCGGCTTTTCCAACAGTTACGGAGCCTTCAGCGGCTTCTCAATGGGACTGCTGCTACGTGCGCTGAGCGGGGAACCGCTGCTGGGGATCCCCGCTGTCATCCTGTACCCCGGCTGGAGGGAGGTGGACGGTGTCATCGTACAGTACTTTCCCTTCAGGACTCTCGCCATGCTTGCCTCCTTGACAGGTGTTATTGCAGTTTCCTGGCTGGTGCAGTTAGGCTTTTATCACAAACTAATTCCTCAGTCCTGGGATTTACTGGGGGCGTTTGAAGAGAAAACAAAGGCACAGGAGGAGGAAGTACCTGTTCCTTTGGAGGAAAAGAACAACATCCTTAATACAAAATTATAGTGTTAGTACAATCTCAGCCAAAGGATACCTAAACCTTTTTTTATGCAAAATTCCTACCAACATTCTTCTCAGCACAGACTATTTCCGCACAATCTTACATGTACTGTACACTTCACCTTTAATACTGATGTAAATGCTTTATATTCACCAAGTTCTGAACAGCATTATGTGGGGAGTATTTCAAAGAGGCAGCTTATACGTGCTGGCTGTTTTTTTTTGACAGAACAGCTTTAAGACTACATCCGCAGACTTCAAGATTCTGGTGTTAATTTCAGAAGTCAAACTTTTCCATATTGTCCCAAAAAATAGCATTTTCCTTGTTTGTTTATCACTAGTAACACAAACATTTTTGTACTTTTTTAATGTAGACCCTTCCACTCAAACCTTTTCAGTCAATTAATCTCAACCCAGACAGTGTTATTTAAATTTTAATTAATTGTTGTACTTTTTTATGAGTTTTTTCTATTTGCATTTATTAAGCACTGACGGGCAATGCAACATCATTGGTGATGCAATACTTGAGGTGTGTTCCTCAGAAACAAAAAAGTCCACCAGTATGTGCCTGCTGGGAAAAGTGTTTACAATGATATCATGTTTTCAAGAGATTAGCATTGAACTACTAACAAATTACATAAATATAAGTGATATTTTTCAGATGTTTTTGTTGATGGCAGGTGTTCATAACAAAACCACCTCTGTTTTATTATCTTTGAATCTGATGTATTTTTAATGTGCATTTGTGTGTAAACGTAAGAACAAACAAACATAAGCTTATTGTTATCTTAATCACTGTATACAGGGTTGTGTCAAGTGCCACAACTTTTGCATTTGTGTTTTCCTATAACATTAAATTATACCCCCCTGAAAGAAGTTGCCTGTTTTTGAAGCACTGATTTTACTTTTGGTTTCAGTATCATTTTACTATAAATGAAAAGTGCAATGTCACATTTGCGTCAGCAGAGGGCGCTCACTAAACACTAAATGGACCTTACCACACTGAATGGCACGGGATGGTGTTTCCAAAGAACTGCCTTTAACAGGGAATAGGAATACAATATAGATTTTTTTTTTTTTTTAAAAGCCAGCAGTCACTCAGGTCCATTTTGACTTAGAGGAGATATGTATTTAGTTTCTTACACTCCCCCATGTTCTCGCTTAATCTGAAAACATATCGCAAGTATTTCAAAAAACGCTTGTTGTTTCATGAGTTTATAAAGCAAATGTGTAATCCAACCCAACATAAAGTCATTAGTAATTTCTTAAAATAAAAAAATTCTCAAGTAGCTTTTATTCTCTCCTTTCACCATCTACTCCCATCTTGTACTTAACAGACACATCAGATGTAGCCTATTTAAGCTTTAAGTGCCTTATGGAAATACATACATGACTTTAAGTGGACTATTATAATGATGTTTGTCATTTTCTGGTAGTAACGAAAGTGAAGAAATAAACAACTATCAGTATATTTATTTAGTTTGAATGAATATGAACTTTATCGAAAAGGCCATGGTTAGAATTATTCATTCATTTGAATTGCTGAATTTTTCTTCTGATTATGATGCAATTATAAAACCACTTTAATTTCGTCTTTTCGTTTACAATTATCAACACGTAATAAAATGGTAAGGGAAAACCTACACTTTACAAATTCAGGTGCGTTTAAATATGTTACAAAAAGGATTTAGCTGTTTACCGAATACGAAAAACACTTATGTGAATTTAAATACTGAACTCCATTGTCTCTAAATCCACTTTTCATCACAAACCTGCACCCAAGATCAAACAGCCTGAGAAGCGACGCCGTGCTGCCGCATCATGTCTGGGATGAATGGACCCTGAAGGCGGTCCTCTCCTCGAACTCCATGTCACATTTCACTCTGAACCCCTCACAGGACAACCTATTGAACAACTCCAATGCACAAAATAAGACTTTCTGCTCCTGAAGGTTTCAACCTAGTCATGTTCACTTCAGTCAAGAATAAATATAAGAAATCAGAAGAAATTAATATGTAATCTTTATAAGGATAGTACTTGACAAAAGAAAGTATCCTCTATAGATAAAAAACATCAAAAACAGCATTGAATGTAATACTATAAGAGGGAACAGTTTGTAAAGTTGTCTAAGTTGTAAAAGAGTATGATCTTAATTATACTTTTTATATTAATTGTAATGTTGGAGTTAACATAATTAGGTTAAGATTATGATATAAAATCTCTCCATATACTCTATATTACTTTGTGTCAATTCAGTCTACTGACAATCTTGTATTAGATAGATAAATCTATCTAATGTGATGTGAAAACTGATATGCACACATTTGGTTTGAATGGTATTAATGGAAACACATTTTAAATGTCAAGTTAGTCCAACCCAATTTTTGTGTAAAAAAATCTAAATAGGTGGTTGCTGACATTGCTGTTGCCTAAAAGACAAATAGAGGGACTAATCGATTATTTCTGAAGGGCAACACATACAGCGTGAAATTAAATGTCTTTATCAAGTGCAACAAACTTTATTAAATGAACCGAAGGCCATATACTGTATATCATATACTTTGAGCACTTTTGTTTCTTTTTGATAATGACCTTGCACATGCTTTCTTTGAGATAAAGTTGATAAAGCTAAGCTCATATGATTAATAAAACTGTTTGTTGACAACCAAACAACTAGAAAGGTGAACTCTTACATTCATTATGAACAAAGCAAATCATTTACGTCTCTTGGAATCAAAGTTATCCAGTCAGCAGTCTTGAAAGTAATCTCAGATAGCATACTCTGGTTGCATTTGATGATTTCATTTAACAACAATTTGATATTTTAACTCAATGAACTTTGCTACAGCAAGACCGGATGTAACATCTCCCTATTTTTGACTGTGAACAATACATACATCATTAGAGGCAAAACTTCTTAGTTTAAAAGTAGCACATTATGTAAAACCAGGGACAAATTCATTAGCTCTGGAGGGTACTCAGTATGTCTGTTAATGAGCACTGCATTTTTAGGAGTTATTTTTTCCCCTTCTCAGATTGGGAAGTGTCAAGTTATTTCATTTCATTTCAAACCTTTATTTATCCAGGTGTATCCCATTGAGATCATTGATCTCTTTTTCAAGGGAGACCTGCTCAAGTAGGTTCCACATGAAACATAAAAACATAAAACAACAGAACAACAAAAAGGACATCATATAGAATCATTACAGGGATTACAATTTACAATAACTATCCACATGAACAGGTACCAACAGCATCCGATTGAGTAGCATCCAACCGAGCTTTAAAAAAATTTAGTGGCACCAGATTGCTCAGTTTCCATTTCAATTGCAGACTGTTCCAAGACAGTGGAGCTGTGCATCTAAAAGCTATCTTCCTTAAGACAGTCCTAGCAGTTGGCACATTTAATAAAACCACAGTATGCGATCTCAGGCAGTAGCCACTTACAATTTGCCGTGAGATCAGGGAGCAGATGTAGGATGGAAGTTTCCCTAACATGGCTTTGAATATACAAATGTACCAGTGACTGAGCCTCCTATAGTTATAAAACTAGTATTTCAGGAAAAAACAAAAGGAAAAGAGAAATGTTTTGCGGGGGTGGTGCAGCATGCCGCTTCCCAGACATGTGACTTAAACAAACTCAAATAAGACACATTTGTGAAAAACTTTACAGACATCCACTTTCAAGCTTCTCCCACCAACTAAGAACTTGTCTTTTGGTCTGATAATTGCGGCCATTGATTTATACGGAAACATCTCTGGTTGATAGTTGGGGATTCATCCAGGGTTCTCCAGCAGAATAAATAATATAAATAATAATACATTCCCTCTGACAGAGGGCTATAAAGTATTACATTTACACAGCTTGGGAATGGATAAAACTACCAGTAACTAACACCCCTACAGGTGCTTGAAGACAGTGCTGGAGGAGTAAGCTTCCTTTACTCAAGTTCTGTCCTTTGTTGCAATTTTGATTCTCTTGTAGCCTACTTTACTCAAATATGATACTTTTACTCCACTACACTTATTTGAACATTTAAGTTGCTTGATACTTTTTTAGAATCAAATTAATAATTTGGTTATAATCAACATATTATTTCTAACATTACTAAATGATCCTGATCAACAATCCAATAATAGTTTACATTTAATTGTAAAATGGGCTATTCTGCTAAATAAGTTATTTTGTTAGCATTTTGATGCACATAATTTTGTACATTACTGAAGTAAATTGTAATGCTTGTAACTGAGTTTTTCTACACTGTATGGCTGATATATTTATTTTTGTTTTAACTGAATTAAAACATCAGGCGAGGATGTTTCCCCCCCAGACCCCCCGGGGTTGCTGTTTTTCAACGCGGCCCTGAACGTCTTGTAGGAGGTGTAGAGAGATTTGTGAATCCCCGGGTCCGGATCCAGTCCGGGTTTTCCCGCCTCCTCCCGGCCACCTTACCGTAGCACTGAGCGTTCTGTGTGAGGAGCCGACTCTTGTTTACAGCAGGATTCCACGGAGGAGCAGAGACACAGCCTGCGTTCACCGAGGGCGAGGATTTCAGCCCCTGATATACACGCTACGGGAGTTTTTGTTTTCTCTCCTTTATGAGGATAAAGGCGACACACGAAACACTCGTAAAGGGCAACTCCTTGTGGACACATTCTCCCTCCCACCCCAGCCGAGGTCGTCTAGCTGAAGAGCTGGAGAGCCATTCTCCTGCGTGGCACAAGTCTGCTGTTTTCTTTCAGCTGCAAATCCCGATTGACGGCGGAAATAAGTCCGACCCGAGGAGCAGGAAAATTGGTTTAAAAAGCGACTTCTCACCGCGAGCCAGGACTGCTTGGTGGCGATAGAGACCTTGTGCTGGTTGAATGGCATAAGCAAAAAAAGGTTTTTCATTCATTTTCCAACCTCGCAGCCACCACCCCTGTGGATCTGGACGTGTTTTCTGTCCCATACCTCCCCTCACACACTCAATCACACGGGGGATTATTGAGAGCGACACTGGCGTAAATGTATTATGGTGTTAAAGGCTGCCAATAATAACATTTAGCCTGGCATTTTGAAATTGTTATTACCAGGCCTGATCGCACTGTACGCGCACTGCTGTTTTCAAGAGATGGAGACTGAAGATGGGGATTACCATCATTTATCCAGGAAAATCACTGGCGTGTGTGCCATACCAGCCGACGTCAAAGTGCCCTGTGACTGGCAAAAATAGCAGACTGTTTTAGTATTTTTTTTCTCCATAGGAATTCCCTGTCATAACGTGGTGTACACATTTATTTATATATATCTTTTAGAGCAAATCCTGGAAGCCACGCATTTGCAGGCTACCACGGTGTAGCCTTTTTGGGCTACAAACATTTATTGCTCCTCTTTTTCATTTTTTTTTTTTTAAAGAAGCCAACGTGTACAACCTTCTTTATTGTATTTTATTTTTTATCCCTGCATTTTTTATTTTTTTTGAGGGGTGAATAATGTTAAGGAACATGAGATCTGACACACTGATGGGTAGCCCGACCTTGTTTTGGGGTCTGATGCTGTCTGTGTCCACTATCTGCATCTGGTCCACACATGGAGAGAGTAAGTCCTTTTTATTATTATTATTATATTTTGTTGATTTCTAACAGGGAATGCCTTAATATGCTACACAATGGGTCTTTTGTAGCCAAGCTTAACCTCTTGTACAGCAGGATTTGGATGAATGCTTTAGGAAGAGTAACTAGTTATAATGTATTTCTTTTAGCAACATAAGTGGGAAACTTTTTATACTAGAACATAGGTACTCACTACGAGAATCCCAGGGATCATGGAGCTCCCCTCTGTGTGCTATTTACTCACATATTAGCTGAGGACCATGTGGTATAGCTGCCCGTCAGTAGGTGAACACATTTAAGCGAATTTTCTTTACGGTTGTGAGCATCACCTCATTTCACAAAGCAGTTTAGTTTATTCAGAAACAGTCGGAGGAACGAAGCACACGTTGCCTTAATCTCCACGTTAGACACCCAGAGAGCAGGGGATGAATTTAGGGACCGGAGCTGAAGGTTACTACGACCATGTGGCCATTTTGCATTTCGTGGTGTGGCGTCGCTGTGTATGAAAAACCTAAATCACACAAACATTTGCTTCTTAAAAGGCCATACAGATAACACACACTAACAAAATAACATAGCTTACTTAAGCCGAACACCTTCATTAACGGTCACCATGACAAAGCACCATTTAAATTGTAGATGGCGATAAGGTATCTTCAGAGAACATTCTCAGTTAACTGCATAGTACCCTGTGTGAAGCTATGTAGTGACAAATAAAGCAAGAGTTAACATTCAGGAGTTCAGACCCAGTCCTAACTCCATGCTCTCACACTGATGAAATGACACTTTGTGTAAGACACGTCATAACTTTACAATTTTGTCTCCGAACAGTTTCTGGACAAGCTTATTAAACTCCCTCAATTTCTCTGTTTATTTGAGTGGTTTAGTAACCAACTATATAGACATCTTTTTTTATGTAACTCCCTAAAATGTAACTGCTTTTCATGATTTAGTTATGATTAATGTCTTGCTTCTACTCAGTTCAGTATCCTTGCTTTGATTTTAAATGTTTTGAAATTCAGAATTTGCTCATCACTGCTTCATCAAAAATGTTTTTCCTACAGTCTAGTTCTTCTAATAATTTAATCTAATGTTATAGATAGAGATGGAATCAAGACTTCTTCTTGGCTATTTCTTTGATAGAATAACTGGGTATTAATAAGGACCAAAGAGGGCTGCTTCACTTTTTACTTCTTATTGCCTATACAGCTCTTTGAAAAGTTATCTGTGACTGTAATATAATAAAACAAGCCTACTCTGTCTAAAAAATAATTAGGCCAAAAGTAACTTAATTAAATAGATAAATTAACCAATTTCTGCATTTTGTCTGATGTTTATCATAAAGTAAAACAAAGATGAGAAGTTATATGAATTTTCTTATTTTTAACAGGTCTGAGACTGCCAAGGCACACNTTCCAGTTATGTTACATTCAGTATAAAATCACAGACACAAATGTAAATACATCTATGTGTGGGACGAATAAATGTTTGTTATTCATCTACACATGTTACCTCACTTTTACACACAGAAATAACTTTTACACAGAGTAAACGTTTACTAACGGAGAGTCTATTATGACACAAGAGAAAGTTCATGACTATCGATAACAAAAAATGGATCAATAAACCTGTTGTTCATTTTTGCGGTATTCCCCATGTAACCCCTATGTTATGTCTTCTCTTTTAGATGGATCACTCTGAGATTGTCAGGCTTTTGATAACAGCTATATTCCATCTCCAATTCCATGCCAGAGGACAAACGAATAAAAAGGACACTGTTATGTTTTGTATCACGTAGTACGTAAAATATGCGCACTTCGACGCTGCACTGTGGGGTGGACTCCAGAGATATATTATTTAAACTAACTTCTATCCATTCATATCCTGCTTGTAGAGAAACGGTCTAAGTGTGGGTCAAAATATCTGTGAGGGCGGGGTTCGCAGTGGCGGAGCTGGGGGGTGGCTGGGAGTGGCCACGGCCATCCCCAGCTGAATCCTGGCCACCCTATTGTCCACCCCAAACATCCTCACCACGGGGGCCCAAACAATTTTAGAACATTAAGAAAAAAATGTTTAAGTGACCTTTCATCTTTCATCAAGAATTAACATTAATAGGGCGTTATATTGATAATGTACTCACTAAACTTACAATTCATTTAACTTATTTTCTTCCAAAAGTTAATTATCCAAAGCCTCTGTACACCCCCTCTATGTAATGGTCTGGTCCTGCCTCCAGCGGTGCAGCACCGCCGGCACTTTCTAGTAGAGAGTGAGAGCATGTTAGGAGCAGGGATGCGGGTACTTACGTGTGAACCATGTCTCAACGACTCACAAAGTCAGCCTTTCAAAAGAGAAAAGAAAGGAGAGAAAGACAAGAGAGAGGGACTAAAGGGCGACAGTATGTCACCCAGTTTTTCAAAGAAAAGGTGGGTGTGGTCTATGAGTGGTGGAAATGAGTCTGTTAGCTAAGCGTAGTCCATGCATTGTAAATAATAATTGTTATGTTTTTTTTTTTGTAAACTGACATTAAGTATACAGGTTTTTAATTTCACTCCTCTTTTAGCTGACATTTAGTAAATGCAGGTACATTTTTAGCAGCTATTCATACTAAATCAGTTGTCCCTGGTGCCAGGACCAACAGATCCAATCTCTAGACTGAGCAGCCCTGTCCCCCCATAATTGTTATATTTTCACAGTTCAGTGTCAGTAAATATTGTGCAGTTAGTATTGGACTACAAGATAGATGCAAGCCTGTACAGGTAGAGTTATTTAAAGCATAAATGAGTGGGTTGGGTTCTGGAGGTGTGGTTACAGCAATTGTGCTTGATTGACGTGGCCTGGGCCTGGTGGCCTGGTGGTGGGGCCCAATGTGATATATTTTCATGGGGCCCAAAATCCCTGGCGTGTAATGGCCAGAGGGCAGGACCTATAACACATTTACTACCCAATAGCATTGTGAGGCTGAACAAAAGGACCTTTTGACTATGTAAATGTAGTCTTTTAAAAAAAAAAAACATTTACTGACTTTTTTTAAGATAGCTTAAAGTAATGTTGTAAAATTAAAACCGGGGGCCTTTCAGGGTTAAGGGCTATTGTTTATTGTTATTTACTTTAAGATGTTTATTCTTAACCAGTAATTTAATTTAAAAACTCTTATTTAAATGATGTGTGTGTGTCTCTGTATTACTGATGATACACTGAGAGAATGAGCTCATAGGGCTGCTGATCATCATAAGCTAAACAGTCTGTATACTGCATTACATTTGTATAATGTAAGCTTCGTTGATACTTTGCCTGCAAAAAAAAAAATCTAACGGAAACTCTGCCGCATGGTTTGCTCGTCCCTTGGAAGGGCGGAGAGGTGGGTTTTTTGCATCTGCTGGTGGACTACCGGAGAGATTTACAGCAGGAGCACACGCCATCCACCGCGGAGAATAAACAGAAGGGCAACCATGCTCCGGGGTCTTCTTCGCTGCTTTTGGTGTATTTTGTGGCGGCAGCAGCGCCACTTACATGCCCGGCATAGGTACTACAGCGTTTCCAGCGGGTCCGGTCTTGTGTGAACGGACACGTTAATTGAGCCGAATGCGTGTGAGCGGAAGACTTTTTTGAAACGCATACGGTGCGTAAATGCGAATGTTAAATGTAAATGGTGTCTCAGTATCTCTTCCTCCCCCCCCTCTCCCTTTCTCTGGCCAGACGCACCCTGATTTTATTAATGCCCTCATCAGGAAGTGGGTGCTAGAGTTTCTCTTTACTAACAAACAAATTAGTCTTTGTGTTTGAGTGGCTCCACCCCTCCTCCCCCTCTCTCCGGCTGCTGGAGAAGCTGGGAAAAAATTCTCAATGAAACAAAGAGGACATGCAGCTCGATGGCTCACAATGGGAGCCCAGGGGCATTGGTGTTGATTGGAGGCAAATACTATTTTCTGGTGGAGTAATCGTTTCCGTTCTAAATTTGGACGTGTGAAACACCCTGCCAGGAGCAAATATAGCCCATTCATCCCTGTAAACAATGCGGGTCCTATTTTTAGCTGAAAAAGTTTAAAGAAAACACTTCAAACATGGCCTTTTTTGTTTCCACTGAAGTGAATTTACCCAGTGTCATTTTGAAAACAAATACAAGTCACTGTCATATGTTTGGGTACAATGGTCACATGCTCTATTGTTTAATGATTTATTTATACAACGCCATATTACAAAGGCACTGGTGGCACGGTGTTTATTTTGAGAGTAGTAACAGTTTCTTTGCTTTATCCCTCGTGTTTTGAACAAGGATCAGAGAGTGTTTTTGAACAGGCACTGTGACGGTGTCGCTCACTGCCATGGAGTCCTAAGCCTCTGTAAGAACATAACAGGTTTAAGCAAGGAGCTCATATGTCAAGGCATTTTCTGTGCCGACTGTCAAACCTTCTTTTAGACTCTTAAAAATAATATGCAACCTGTTAGCTGGAGGATGTCCCTATTCTGTTACTACATAACTCATTTATTGTTTCATAATTCATTTACCAAATGTATTGTAAGGAACTTTAGGGACTTTAATCAGTTTTACCGGATACCTTTTCAGTTTTCTGTCAGTGGCATTAGAACAGTGCTTGAACCTCAAGCACAGGTGCTTGGAGGTATTTTGAAAGGTTAAAAACTAAGAATTTAAAGAATAAATGACTAACTAACTAGAAATTACTTATTAAATATACCCAAATATTGAGTCATCTCTAACATTCGAACACTGTGTTACAATTGGGACTGCAAAACGAGCTAGCAGGAAAGTCGAAACATCTATCTGAAATTAAATGTTTGAAATAATAACGGTGAAAAAGCAAAACTTAGTTGATACATTGTTTAAACGGTTGGTGAAAAGCTAAATGTTTGAAAGAAAGCGTTGCTTAGTTAAATAACATCAATTGCTTAAACAATTAGCTTAAAGGCCTAATGAATACATAGTCAAATAGTTGAATAAAAATGATGGCTAAATGCTTAAACTGGTTATCTGAAAGTAAAGAGTTAGCTCAAACAATGGTTAAATAGTAAATACTTCAACGACTGGAATATGTGTTATGAATGTTAACTTGAAGAAACCCTCCTATAACACACAGCTGCAAAAAGATTTCAATTGCATAGAGAACAAAATATCCACTTTAACATTATTAATAGTGTGAAATAAGAACCAGTTTGAAATCAATTCCTATAAACACATGTGGGAAAATGATGTGCGTGTGTCAATAAATAGAGAACCTGCTCATTTAATTTGTCAGTGCGGGGAAAGCACATCAGACAAAATAAGTAATGGAACCATTGCATTAGAGAACAATAACATTATGAGAATATAATCTACCATTCATTCCCAGGTGTAGTAATTGATAGGCACGATTAGATGGAAGTCGATTGTCATCAATAATAAAGTGTGTGTGTGTGTGTGTGTGTGTGTGTGTGTGTGTCGCTCCAGGCTCTGTGGTTTCAAATGTTGTTTTCCGAGCACAGAGGAATGGCTAATTCAAACGCTGGGGTTATCNCCACACACACACACACACACACACACACACACACACACACACACACACACACAGAGAGGTGACATCCGGAGTGTTTCTGCCTCACTGCTATTGTTGCTCTCCTGGTTGGACTGACAGCTCTCTCTTTGTGTTTTATCTCATGTTTTAAATGTTTCTAAATAAAAGCCTGGTGCGCTCAGCTGTCTGTGTGAGTGTGTGTGTGTGTGTGTGTGTGTGTGTGTGCTCCAGGCTCTGTGGTTTCAAATGTTGTTTTCCGAGCACAGAGGAATGGCTAATTCAAACGCTGGGGTTATCTGAGGTGACGGATCAACATTTTAGTGAAGCAATATTTGCGTCTAATAAGATGAGAGTACAAGGGTTTGTCAACATGTAAACCTCATCGGGAAACAATAACACCTCTTTGTTTAAAATATATTTACCTCAGCAGGCCCTGATGATGGCATCTCTCTTTTAATGATCCAAAGGCCTACCTAAGACAAACTTCTTTTAGACAATGTAGCTAAAAACATTATTTCCTATCACTAAGCTCACTTTGCTGTTCTCGTGAGCTCTGTATGTATGACATATTGACTAAGAGGATTATATGCTTCACGAAGATTACTCTAATTAAAATCTTTTGGCAGAAGTATTTTACATGCTAATCTATATGTAGCATTGCTGTATTCCCCACCACACGCATTCATACTTGTGCAATGTATTGTTTTTTATTGTACATGTGTGGTTAAGAACATTTATCATTCATGTTTTGTCTCTTTTTGTCTTCCAGTTTGTGGTCCGAGCATCGACATCCGGAATGACATCAGCGAGTTCAAGCGTCTGGAGAACTGCACGGTGGTGGAGGGCTACCTGCAGATCCTCCTCATCAACGACAAGACCAACAACATCAACCAGGAGGTCTTCCGCTCCCTGAGCTTCCCAAAGCTGACCGTCATCACCGACTACCTGCTGCTGTTTCGCGTCTCGGGCCTGGACAGCCTCAGCATTCTCTTCCCCAACCTGAGTGTAATCCGCGGGCGAAATCTCTTCTACGACTACTCCCTGGTGATTTACGAGATGACCAGCCTGAAGGACATCGGCCTGTACAATCTGAGGAACATCACCCGGGGAGCCGTGCGGATTGAGAAGAACCCTGAGCTCTGCTACCTGAACTCTGTGGACTGGTCCCTTATTATGAATGCTAGGTTGAACAACGTTATAAATGGAAATAAGAAGGCAAAGGAATGTGACAATGTCTGCCCTGGCATCATGGAGGATAACCCTCTTTGTCAGAGGACGTCGTTTAATGACAACTACGACTACCGCTGTTGGACCTCCACGCAGTGCCAGAAAGGTAACGTGAATTCCATGGTGTTTTATTTCATCCTCCCAAATGACGAAAAAAAGCAGCTTGAAACGGGGATGTTTGCTCGGTACACGTTGATAACAGCTGTGTGATTTTCGTAATTCGAGTATAGTAAATGTGGATGTGACTTTGATCCATGTAGGTGGTTTCCAGTCTTATAAACATTCTGAAATTGTGCATTTTTTCACCAGCTAACAAATCCCATGAATCTGTGCAGTGTTTGCCCTTCATTTCCGTCAGGCTGAAGGATTGTCCACGGGCCAGTGCAAACACATCCCCTCTGTTCATTATAGAGACCTTGTCTTTAGATCAGGCTATTTGCGGAGTGAAGGATGGCTGCAGTATAGAGCACCGGGTATTAGAAAGGCATATTCAGTTGAGGTTAAAGTTGCTCTGCCAAGAAATGAGCTAGTCTACCTGTCTGGACCATGTCAGTTAAATATTTGCCTTAGGGACTTTTTACGATTTTATGAAAAGGGGTATATTGAAGAATTTGGGGGAGGGTCCAAGTCCCTGTTTAACTTCGGCCCAGTGGTAGGGTCATGCATTTTTAAAAACAGTTCAGAAGAGGGTCATATAATATATTGAAACGTAATATCCTTATGATCTGCAGGTTGGAATTGATTGAGTTTTTCGGGTTCAGTATGTCATACACAGCTCTCAAGGCGAGTGTCGGGGCTTGTAGCAACGTTACATATCTTCACACACTCTCAGATTTCAGAATGAGAGACAGCTTGTGCTTTTTTGATTAGACATTGGGACAACCAGATCAGCTGTCCCATGCCTCTTTGAATATAAAAGACAGTGCCAGACTTTCCAATATATCCTGCAGCCTGTTTGACACAGACAGACTAAGCAGTGCGTTCTTTTCTGACATCAGAACAAACTATTTATGTAATATCATGTTTCTTGGCTGTATCGTTTTTCATGCACTTATTTTAAAGATATTAAGCTACTAGTTGTCATTTCTTCTAGGGTGCAGCGGGTTTGTGGATGTTGTTTTTTACCAGAGGTTGAAATTCCTTTGGTGACTTCACTTATTAATAACACATTACCCTATCCCAACAGTTGAAGAAGTATTCACTTGTATTCAGAAAAGTCTATTTAAATCATTTGAAAGATAATTAAAGTATATTAACGGTGCTTTAATTCCAACATGTCTCCTTGAAAGACATCACAAAAAGGGACAAAAAGCATTTTAGATGTTATTGTTGTATACGTAGGAATTTTTAGATGCTGATAAGATATAATAACAAACTATGGCCTTCCATCTGTCTGCTGCTTTGTTTTTATGGTTACAGATGTCGTTTGTGTGTGGTTCAGAGGGTGATATCAATGCAGCAGCTTCAGCGTCATTTGCCTTTATTTGTTTATTTTGCATAAACTATTAACACATTGGTAGTTGAGAGACACTGGCCCTTTTGTCCTTCCCTCTCTAAAGGCTGACTATCCATACTGTACCAACTGTGGAGTAAATAAAACGGCTACACGTTTGCCTCTCTTTCTGTCTTTCTTTCTTCAACTTGTTTTGATCGCCTACTTCATGCTAGTTTCTCAGTCCTCTCCTCTGTGTGTAATGGTGGGAAAATGTTCCTCCAGCCCTTTTTCTATTGAAGACCTGTGTACAGCTCCCATGGTCAGTTGGGAGTCTCACACACCACCCTCCTTCACCCCCGGGGACCCTCAGAACAAATAGTGGAAATCAAGTATGCGTTCTTTCCCTAGTGATTACTTCTGTCTCTATAGAAAAGCTATGTTGTTTATTGTTGTTCCTCTGTTTATTTATTGGATGCCATATCCTGCCAGAGTTCCCCGCATGTTGTTATTGATTCCTTGATTCATGCACAGTGTGCTGTGTGACTTTGGAACCATTTTGATTATCTTTGTTTAAAAGGGTTTCCTTACTTTGCTCGATTTACAAATAATCAACATTGTGAAGGACCTTTTTACCATTCACCTAGAAGGCCCTGAGGTCTCAAGGCTGCAGATAAAGGCTCCGGGGAGCAACCCAGTGGGGAAAAAAGGAGGACTAACTGAAGCTATAGTAGGACCGAATAAAGAGCTCCGTTAATATTCCAGGCTTTATGCCCCTTTTGCAACATTTCTCACCCTGCATTTTGAAAGGCTTGATGTTTATACCTCTCTGCTTCCTGCTTAAGATTCCTCTCTCCTCCCTCCACCCCACTGCATAATTGTCTTGTTTTTCTCCAGTACAGATGTTCCTTCAAGGGCATTCAGTGGTTTTGTAGTCAATATGGCCCGGTCTCCTCTTTAATTACACTACATGAGGGGGGAGTGCTGTCTGCCTTTTAGCCTCTGGGCCTCCTGGTGCTTCACAGAGCACACAACTCAACTTTCCACATGTTTGTCGACCTACTAGATACTGTTCCCCACAACGGTCCGGGTGTATTAGTCGAGAGGGGAATGTTTATATGATAAGCCAGGTTAATGTGGTTCATTTGAAGTGAGTGGGAGTCACCGTGTAGGGATGTGCAGATTGGAGCAGGTTGCTTTTTAGTGGCGGGCAGCGATGCGTAAAGAGGCCATGACTGAGGAGCAGGAGGAGGGGCACTGAGGGGAAATGTCAGACAAATGTCAGACAAATGTCAAGTATACGAGCTCAACAGCAAGCTTGCGCTAAAGCACATTGCTTGGAGGGCTAAAAAATGCCTGTTACTCCGCTTGTTTTTTTCTTGTACCTCGTCCTCCTCCTTCTTCCCCCCATGATTCTCCCCTCTTCATACACACTGTCTGTCTGCTTCTTCCTCACTTGGCCTAACCTCAGCCTGGATCTCTGATTTCACCTTGTCAGTTGTTCTCCTGGTGTTTCCTCCTCCATTTTCACCTCGCTCTTTTTCTACTCTGCTTATCAGGGGCTGTTAACAGCTCTGGCTGTCAGATATCTCTCCGCTGTTTACTTGTCGGGAGACATTCTCTCATCCCTGCAGTGGTCACAGCCAACCGTCTTGTTTGGCCAGGCCCTGGATCCTTTGACACCGCACACTGTTTGCTTTGAGTTTCGGGGGATCCCATGACTAAAACTGTCTGGCCTGCTTCAAATAGCCCTCTCAGGTCTCTGTGTTTGCTGCAGACAGGCCTCCCTTCTGCCCCTGAAACTGAGCCAGAGCCAGATAGACAAGAGGCTTTTAAAATTAGGCAGACGAGCAGGAAAGCATGCTGCTGTGTCCATGCCCAGTCCCGGGGCAGGTTAGTCTTCATAGCTCCACAGGGAGGCACACACTCTCACACTGGCTACTCCTCACAGTGCTTACATGTCTTCTGTATGCGATAGATTATTAACTTACAGTATGCTGTATCATTCTAAGGAACATCATGTCCTGAATGCTGCATTATAATATGTCAGAACTCAAGTCTGCATGAGAATGTTTAATGAACGAAAATGTCCACATACTGAAACTGCCTTTTTGCTTTTTGAGAGGGCAGACCTGAGGTGTTAGTGGTGCAGTGTCATTTAGCATTTTAGTGTCTGAAGCTATAGTGGTGTAAGGTGAAGTTCGACATAAGGAGCCCTGCTGTCCTGTTATGCCACTGACAGTCTGCTCTGTGTGTCCTTGTCCTGAACCCTGAGAAAAACACAGCAGAGCGAAAAAGCATTTCTGAGCCGTGGCAGTTGTGAGAGCTCTCCGCCGGCCAGGGAGACTTTTGCATTTGATAATATGTTTGCTCCCTCTTTGCCAGAGACCCACTTGATATCTCTGGTCTGAGTGCTCTGACCTAAGGCCACTTCACAGCAGGAAAACTGTTTCTTTTAGAGGATGTAGTGGAAGCAGGTTCAGACGGACAGACAATATTTCTTTCTTCTCTGTCTGTTGTTTTTTTTTTACTTTGCAATTGTTATATATTTTGATATATTTGAGAAAGATAGGGCTTGCTATATTACATTTTTCTCATTTGTATCCCAATGCTTTTTGATTCCCTCCACTGTCTTTTAAAACGAGTCACAAATAATGTAATTTACACCAAACAGCTGGCTGGGCTCTGTAGGTTTTGGAAAAACATATTCACACTGTAGTAAAATTGGTCAGAATTAATTTTAGCTGTGGGTATGATTTACTAGAAAATATTTATGGCACCAGAATGCTGCATGTGTGATTGCTTCAAAATTAAACTTTATTTCCCATGTTCATCATAATAAAAAGGAACCTAGTACTGCAATGTGGCTCAATATTCAGTTTTTAATAAGTTGGGGGCATTATGCCGCTTGGAAACAAGTTGTATCAGGCTGTGGCTACAATGAAAATACCACGATCATTTGTTGGTCTGGGCTTTGTTTTATATTTTTTTTTAAAGAGAGGGAAAACAGAATGCAAATCCCTTATGTTTTAAAGGTTTTTGTTCCTATATTTCTGGAGTCACCACATAGTTCATACCTCTTGTTGTTGAAAGAGTGAACCGAGCAGAAACGATACTCAGTGTGTGCTAAGAGCTACATGTGCTGATGCTTTAGGTACATACAAGGCATGTATGTTCAGTTGGGAGGAATGAGTCTGCCCCTTTAAGTATATAAGGTAGAAATTCCTGCTGGCTTACTCATTGCAGTTGTGAGGGGATAAAGAGGGGGAATTCACAGCACAGGCTGTATGTGTGGACTACATGGGCAGCGCCATACAGAGACTATTTGTTGGAAATAAGAAGGAACTAAACTGATGAAGTTGACAGAGTTTTTGTGTGTGTGTTGTGTGCCAAGGTGGGCCAAGTTTTTATAAACATCTGTCAGTCGTTTTTGTTTAACTAATACCCCAGAGCAGGTACGAGGAAGCTTTTAAATGTTTAATGTATTTTCTGAAGCTTATCACAGTCATGTGGTTATAGGGACAGGATGCAGGGAAGGGCTCAAATTCCAGTGCTGCTTTCCTGGGGGCACACTCAGCACCATGACTCAGTACGCACACATGTGATGTTTCCACCCGGCATGAGCTATACTCACCCGCCTCTGCTCCATTTTGTACAAAGCTTAGGCAGCGTGC